GAGGTATTATTATACAACTATGCTCTATGAAATGGTTAGAAATTCATTAACTTTTTCTATTTAAGGGTGGAGCACTGGTCGGTTGGGTGCTTGGCTATGAATGCACTCCTGTTAAGCTACGCTTCTTTACCACCGGTCTGAAACCTTTAAATGAATCACTTAATGAGACTTTATAAGTGAAATTTAATTTTTTAGTATATTTTGGAATGGCATGGGTTGCCGGATACTGCCTCGTGACGCCACTTGCAATTGTAGCACCGAGTTGGCGATGGCTCATATTCTTCGTCTCCGTGCCACAGCTAATCACAGCTTCACTCTGCTATTTGTAAGTGTTCTACTGCTTTTCTACTGCTCTACTTTTCTTCCCTCTCACCTCAGTCTCTTCCTTGAGATTATATGAACGGTTGTAGCGCAGTTGGAGGGGGGGGGGGAGAGGGAACCATGAGCAGCGAGTCATAGCTATACCCTCCTAACGAAATAGTCGTTGACGCAGGTGAGAGCGCAGAAAAACAGAAAGTGAGCGCTGTCAAAATGTTCCACTGCTCCCCTACTGCCATCTTTGCCCAGAATTTACTTATCACCTGCACGTCAGTTGAACGCGGTACGTCCGTAGTGGAAAGCAGAACTCGAGGACTGAAAGGGTAGAGAGACACAGACTGGGGGAGGGGAACCAGGAACTGCTGGGGGAGGGGAACCAGGAACTAAAGAAGATAGAACAGACAAACGACCTGGATAGATGGCAAAGGTTATCCCACAAAGTATGAACACCTTTGCCAATATATGTGGGACCGCTGGCATATCTCGTCCTTAGAAGGGTGGGGCACCTTCCATGAGTTCACGTCGGCAGCAGCGCAGGTTCCTTTCACTGTGGGGCTAAGCGCTGTGCAAGGAAGAGACCCTAGCCGCGGGGTAATGGCGGAATCTCTCTCTAATCGTGAGACACGCACCCCTAAAGCCAAAGCCAGCGATCATTGACCATCAGAGATAGTGGATAGGGGTTTGCATATAGACGACAAGGTTCTGAGTAACTCGATAGTGAAGAAAAAAAGCAGAAAAAACATGCCAACTGCCCTAAATAGAACCCCATTCCGATCCCAGTTTGTACGTGCCCAATTAACTTTACCTTCAACGCTACGTCCTCATTCGCACAGCTGATTAGCCGATAAGAACTCTACGACCGTACAAGTGACGATTTTCATGCTTTTTCGTCCTGCAGCTTCGTTTTCACTGAAAGGCGGGCCTTGGAGGCGGAGTCACTGGAAAAAAGGAGGCGTCACTGAACCTATATTGCGCTATAGCGCCCCTCCCTTACAATTTTTTGCCGCAAAACCGGTACAAGGTTGTTCGTCGCGGACCACACTACCCTCCTGACCCATATTTCAACTCTTCAACTCCTATACCTGATCGCGGACCGTGCCTTTTGACAGTTCGTCCATACCTCTATGCCCAGTACAATAGTCTCTTAATAAGCTATACACCATGACGTGTCTGCCGTGACATTACCGTGCTAAGAGCAACCCTGATTCAGACCTTTGTTCCCGGAAAGTTTGCACTATCTCGCTATTGGACGTCACGAAAAGATCGTCGGCGAATGGCTGAACAAAACCGGCGATGTTGATGTCGCTGGAATCGACCCTAGAAGTACGTAATTTACTGTTCAGATTATGAGTTCCCTTGATGACCCGCATAGTTTCTTTCAGAGTGTCCAACGTGTTTGCTGAAATATGGGCACACAAACGGTTTCTCTTATATACGGTCATCCTCATTTATCTCTGGTTCGTTTAAGTTCCTTTGGTTCCTTTTTGATCCCGGCAGCATACGATTTGTCGTGATTTTTGGATTCATTTAAATTCAGGAATTGTGATACTTTCATATATTTTGGCTTGTCTCTGTACAGTACACATTTGGCTGGTGATATCTACCTTAACTATTTACTTGTTGGACTGGTGGAGATTCCAGCCTATATCCTTTCCCCGATTGCAATGAACAGGTCTGACTGATTTTATCTGAATCTATTTGCCTTCAACCGGGAACGCGATTGCCTTATGAGGGAAGGACGAGTAATTATCCAGTCGTTATCATCATTATCGAGTCATTTATTATAGTCGTTATCAGTGAAGTCAGGCGGGGCGTGTCATCGAGACGTGGGTTTGGCGCGGGGCCACTCATTGGGTGCCCGAAGCCGCGGCGATTGAATACGCACCCATGTACACACTGTGATGGATGAAATGGCGCTGTCAGGGACACTTACACCCCAAAATTTCCTCTTCAGGTACGCCCTCCCCCCTCACTCCATTCTGCCCCCATTTCCTTAAATTCTCACCCCTCCTTACCGACTCTTTCGATTTTCTGGAATAACATTCTTACCAGAAAACAGGTGCCATGCGAAGAAGGGATTAGTCTGCAAACAACTATCAAAATCAGCTCCCAGAAGTAGCAGCAGTGCAGTATAGTAATGTAGTAGTTCTGCGGCGCGGACAACAATGAGGGCGGGGGGGGGAGACGAAGTTATTATCGTGGATTGTCGTAATATGCTCTCCACACTCCTGAAGGTTTTTTATGAGTATGACAGCTTCTCAATACCAATTCTACATTTTACTTTTTTAGGTATGGCAGACGAGTAGTAACTGCACTGACTCACTTACTAGCTGCTGGCACTTTCTTTGGCCTTGTTTTCACTCCAGGTATGCTACTCTGTTAAAATCACTACGCTAATGTTACGAAAAAACTACCTACCTGCTAACAATACTAGCTACCTACGGCTCTAACTTTTTAGCTTGGAAGATCTGCATATAGTTGAGATCGCCGCGATCAGTCGGGGCGGTGTCGGGAGGCGTGAAATGGTCCCATCCGTGACTGCATCTTCTACCAATGATGACGGGTTCAGGAGGAAAACGACCAGTGGTAGAAAACGCCGCGGGTGGGCTCATTCCACAGGCCGTATTACAAAAAGTTCTGCGAAAGAGATCACATTAATTACTAGTCATTACATAATTCGATCCGTCAACCAATGGACGTGCGAGAGGCCACGGATCGGAGCGCAGCCAGTGCTGCCTTTTCCACCCACTGATGCCTTCCTGAGCCAGCATCAGTTGGTGGAAGGCGGTCCTGACTGTGCTTCAATACACGCCCCCTCACACGCCCTCTGGTAAATACCCGTATAACAATAGGTGATGTTTGTTTCAGAAGTCCCA